TGGGGAACTGAGGGAAAAGCAGAGGAATTTGGAAAGGACGGCAGAAAGGCAGATCCCAAAAAAGGAGAGAGGAGGCTGGTGTTCCCCTCTCCCAGCCCCTCCCTCCCTGCTGCCCGCTCCCTGCTGCGGAGGGGAGCTGCCTGGGGCGTTGGCTGCTCTGTCCATTCCAGCTCCCTCCCTCGGCTCCTGTTTACAAGTCCATCCGCCCAGTCCCTGGCTCAGCTCTGGGCTCTTTTTTTCTCTCTCTCCCTCCCTCCCTGTACAGCCTCATTCAGTCCTGTTTTGCCACTTCTTTTCCTTAATCTTGGGTCTCCATTTCCCATTATCTTTTTGTTCCCCCAGCATCCCGGCACCCACAGCTCAGGTGCCTCTCGGCCATCTCTCTCTGCCGCTGGGGATCCAGCTGTCTTGATGTGGCCACCTGCCCTACTCTCCCTGCTCACATCTGTTCCCCATCTCTTGCCTAGACAGCCTTTCTTTGCCTTCTTACATCCCAGAGTCTCTACTCAGGGCCCTGTGTCTCATCTCTTGTTCTCTAATCAGCTTTAACTTGGGTTCTGCTTGGGCCTGAAGATTTCAGTTAGGACTGAGTGTAATGGGAGGGTTTCCGGTATCCTAGCTGTCTGATCTGCGTAATTCAGGAACTCCTTATTTGAAGCCTGAGGTTTAACACAGGCTGGGATTTGAATTGAGCTGGAGAAGGATGGTTTGACTTGGCTTCCTATTTTGGGTTTGGGTTAGGAGTTTGGGGTTTGAGAATTGCTTAGAAAATAATGTTTGGATCCCAGAATCGCCCAATAATTTTGCTGTTCCACTAGGGAAGATGATAGATTAGAATCAATGACAGTGAATGGAGAAGGACCTGGTGCTTGGCAGGGATGCTCATCTCTGGGCTGGTGTGGGTATGGGGTAGAGGTGCGGTCTGGGAGATCCCAGATGGCTCGAAGAAGGGGTAACAGTAATTTCTGTGCTTCTAAGGCTGACATGCCAAAGGGCCCTCATCTGGGGGAAGAAGTCTGCTTTCAAAGAGACTGCAAGCAGACTGCACACTTCGCTTCTTTTCTGAGATCAGAGTGTAAAAGCCATGATGACTCTTTGAGCAGTTGGCTTCTTTTCTTCCTCGTGACACACTGATTTCGGAGAAGGGGACTGTGGAGAGAAGGGAGGGGAAGGGGAATCCCCTGGCATGGGGCCTGCCCACGGAGCTCCCCTTTGTGGTTGCTATGGAAACAGGCATACTAAGAACAAAACAGAGGCACGTTGCCTGGCAACAAAGGAGCCCAGGGTTCATCACACACATACTACATACATATCAGGGAACCCCCAGGGAGGGCGTGACACTTCTGGGGAAGCTAGGGTATCCCAGTGATGAGGAGTCCTAGAGCTTACCTAGCTTTTCCAGTGAGTCTGGAGGACTGGTGTGGGATGCTTCTGAAGGATGGCGTAGTGGCAGGGGAGGGCTCACGTCCTCTCAGATCCCCGGGTAGCCCTTATTTTGACAGGAAAGTCTGAAGCAAAGGTTTTCTTTGCGATGTTGGAGCCAACTGAGGGGACTCATAACTAAAAAATAGTGTGTCTGTGTGGGGGGAAGTAAGGTAGGGGTGTAAAAGATCTGTAAGAAAAGATAATGTCCAGTTTTTCCAAAGCACAGGACTCAGAGTACAAGGTAAGGTGGCATCAGAGGACAGATCCTTCTGGACTGAGCGTCTTGAGGGCAGGGATTCCATCTTGCCAAGTACTCCATTACCTGCACCAGCACCACCCCCCGCAGCGGCCCCTGACCCAGTGCTGGACACAGTGAACGTTTGTGCAGCTGCGTGAAAGACCTACACGTGGGGGAAGTGCTCCCTGAGGCTGAGAGCAAGGGGAAGCTGACTTCCCCTCATGGGAATCATGGGGTACAGGATGCTGTTGTATAAAGAACAAGGGCTTTGGGGCCATTTATACCTGTAGTTCATTCACTCATTCACACATTTAACCAAGTGTTCTGGAGTGATTGCTTGGTGCCAGCTACTGCTCTAGGCGTGGAGCATACAGCAGAGAACAAAGAATTCCTGCCCTCGTGGAGCTTAGGTGCTGGTGGGAGCTTTGACTCCTGTTTCTGAGGGTTGTGTGATTTTAGGTAAATCACTGCCCCTCTCTGAGACCCTTTCCTTCCTGCATGTGAGGATTAAACGAGCTGACACGTCAAGTGCCTGCAGCAGTGTCAGGCACAATCCCCACTGAGGTAGCTTCGGGGAGTGAAAGCTGGGGGCTACAGCAGTGGGCGGAAGGAACAGGGTTGGCAGAAATGTCTGAAAGTGTGTGTCTCCAGTTGCACCATTGCCAACCCAACTGTTGAAAATATTCCCTTCGCCTGGGCTGAGGAGGCTGACCCTAAGAAACCCCAGCTTTGGTCTGGCAGGCACGATCATGGCTTTTTAGAGGGCATGGTCTAGGTTACCCCTTATCTACCCTCCTAGCCTAGAATGGGGCAGGAGCCAGTCCCCAGGACCACCTCCCAGCAGGTATCCTGACCCTCCTACCGCTGAATGAAGTACCTGGACAGTAATCCCTGCTCTGCGGCTGCTCCCCGACCATCCTCTCCTGCCTTTTTCTCTGTTGACCAAGAGGGTGGCCAGGACAAACAATGGAGCAGATAAGTTGGCTCTGAGCCCAGGACACTAGCCTCCGCTCTTTCACTCCTGGGGGGCTGATGGCGCCCAAGCTGAGGTGAGGGAGCAATATCCACACCGTTCCCCACTCTTCCTTTCCTGCTCCAGCCGCCTCCCTCCAAAATCCCATGGCCATCTTTCCAGAGCTATCTTTCTGAAAAACCTACCTGTAAATCAGCTCCCGTCTTAATATGCACTGGAAACCCTTGTACTTTCAAGGAACCAAATGATTCATTTCGTAAAGTTAAAATCCTCCGGTAAACTGTTAACAGTGATTACTTTTGGGGAGAGGGACTGTGTGGGGGGGGAGATGTCTACTTTTTTTTTTTTTTTTTTTTTTTTGGGATGGGGGGCTCTTTCTGTTGTGGTTGTCCTCCTTGTGGGGGGCAGGCTCCGGACGCGCAGGCTCAGCGGCCATGGCTCACGGACCCAGCCGCTCCGTGGCATGCGGGATCTTCCCGGACCGGGGCACGAACCCGTGTCCCCTGCATCGGCAGGCGGACTCTCAACCACTGCGCCACCAGGGATGCCCGAGATGTCTACTTTTTATTGTTCTACTTTTCTGTACTGACATTCTTCACCCTATGGAGGTATTGATTTTGTTTCAGAAACAGCAACAAGGATTATCTGACTTGTAGGATCACAGGCCACTTTGTATTCTTGGTTCATATTTAAAAACTGAGTAAATGTTATTTAAAATGAGATAAAATTTAAAAAGCCATTGGTATAGGAAATAATTAGCTCTTGGTCTCTATTTTTATTTTTTAAAGCATCCCAAAGTTGAAAAGTTTAGATTTTTTCTTTAAATAAAGTAGGTGCTGGGAAAGGGGTGCAGACCACAATGGAGGTGGAGGTGATTCTTCAGAAAGTCTGGGTTTCTGATTGTGTGCTTGTGATATGGGTGGTGGAACCGACTCTGCTGCGGGTTTGAGTCACTGTGTGTGTGTGTGTGTGTGTGTGTGTGTGTGTGTGTGTGTGTGAGAGAGAGAGAGAGAGAGAGAGAGAGGGAATGAGAGAATGCTGGTGCCCAAGTCTGTGCTTTGACTATGTGTCTCTGCATGTCTATGCTTGTCTGAATGTCTACACATGTGTCTCCACCTTTCTGTGTCCATTATCTGAGTGTCTGCCTGTCTGTGGCTCCTTTGGCTGTCTCTTCCCTCCCCCATGCCTGTACCCTGTGCTGGTAACTGGACCTGGGACACAGCCCCCAGGGCTGGCAGCAGAGTTGGCTGCTGGGTATTTTTAGCCTGTACACATGCTTGCCATTTCAGAGGACAGGGCCGCTGGTCTCAGCCCCAGCCCACTCATGATCATACAGCGAGGAGGGCGCTCCCTGCCGGGGCCAGGTCTTCTCAGGTCCCCAGCCTGGGGTCTCCCTTCTGCACGCAGCATTCCAGAAGGAAGGAAAACTGGCTTCGCGTGGGTAGTGGGTGGCCATCCAGGAAGGAGGATAAGCGAACTCACGGGGTAGAAGCGAATGAGGGTGTAGCCAGAAGGCCCCTGCCCCCCATCATTAAGCGTTTAATAAAATCTCCGTGTAGTTAGAACTGCCTGTGGGAAATGGCTTAAATTTGGAAACTCTGCGCCTGGCCAGTGGGGCGGTGGAGGGAGGGGGTCGGAGAAGAAATAGGTAGGAAGAGAAAAGCGGGGGGCAGGGAGGTAGACAGCGGGCTCTGCTCCTCCAAGGGGTGCAGGCCTGACTCCCGTGTCGCTGCAGCGGCCGGAGCAGCACGGTGGCACGGGGGGCACTAGTGACCCTGACTCCAGCAGGTGGGGCGAGCGTCTCCAGGCTGGTTCTGTGGGGGGAGGGCCCCCAGAAAGAGGGAAGGTGAGAAATGCGCGCGGCTGCGTGGAGCCTGGGAACCGAGTGAGGAGCCTGGGGCCGAGGATTTGAAGGGTAGCTGCCCGTGTTGAGAGAAAACTCAAAGGTCCGCGTCAGGCTGGCGGTCGCGGCTGAATCACCCAAGTCCCCCAGCCGCAGCCTGAACCCCTTGGTCCTTCCTGAAAAATGGACTGATTCGCAGTTCCAGCTGTGAGGATGAACCTCAGGGAGCTTCGAGGAGTTTCTTGCCGAAGAAGCCACATAGCGCATCCTTTGGGGGTAGATCCAGGCCCGGGCCAGGACAGGGGGCAGTGGATGGGGGGAGGGGAAGGCAGCACCTCGGACGTGCGGCGTCCCCGGGTCCCCGCGGCCCCCAGTGCCCTCCCAACAGCGCGTTCCCTGGTGCCTCCAGGGTTGGCCCCGCTCACCAGTCCCAGCCCTGCTTCGGCCTCGCCCGGCCCCGCCCTCCCCCCACCGCTCAGGGCAGACCCGCCCGCCCGCCCCAGCCGGAGTTACAAGAGCCGCCTCCGCGCACGGGGGCCGGGCCACTCGGAGCAGCTCCGCCGCGGGGACTGCACCGCCCGCCCTGCCGGACCCGCCCCGACCGGGGCTCGCCGCCCGCAGCAGCCGCAGCACCGCGACCTCGGGCCCTGCGCTGGCTATGGCTGTGCCCTGGGGCTGAACGCGCAGGTAGGGGCGCCGGGCGCACCTCGGCGCAATCGGAGAACGGGACTCCGGGAACGCGCGAGGGGAGGTGGGTGGCAGGGCTTGGGCGAGGCGCCTTGGGCGGGTGTCACTGGGAAGATTCAGTTCGGCGCAAGGTGGGCAGCCCAGGGCCGCACGGGGAGGCGACGCGTCGCGTCCTGGGAGCCGAGCTCTGCCTCCGGAGTTGGGGCGCTGGTAGGGGCGCAAGTTGGGTAAAGTTGGAAAATCGCTCCGAGGCGCGGTTTGCTCTAGTCTGTCTTTCTCTCGAGGGCTGGCTGTGGTCCCTGCTGCACGGCCGGGCGCCCGTTCTTGGCCTGGTGGCCCCTGTCCCACCCCCTCCTTCTCCGTGGGGCGGTGGCTGAGCGCGCTGCTTCGTTCCTATTCCATGTTTACTGGAGAAGTTTCCGAGATCGCGGCGCGGCCCCTCGGCCCCGCCCGGCGCCCCAGCGCCCCCGCGCCGCGCACCCCCTCCGCCGTCCCTCCCCGCGCCCCACACCTCCGCCCCTGACTTCGCGTCCCGGGTCCTCCCGGCCCCACCCAGTTCTGCACCACCAGCCTCTCCTTTTCTTGCTCCGAGCGGCCCCTCAGCCTCCCTCCAGCTGCCCCGCCCTAGTCTTGCCCCTCTGTGTTCCCAGCTCCAGAAAACTCCCTTCTTCCGCTGGGGTCGCTGAGCCTAGGAGTTTGCAGCTCGCCCGGCAGCGGGACGGGTGGGAGTGGGGGTGGGGGACATAATTGGGGAGATGCCTGAACTGGGGTGGGCGGGGAGGGGGGCTGTGCCGCGGCATAGCCCTCGGGACCGCCCCTTCCCCTTCCGAGGCGGCGCTCTCTCCCCAACCCCACTCCCAAACCCGGCCGGGTGGGACGGCCCCCGCCCCAGCGCCTGGCTCGGCGCCAGCAGCCTGAGGAATGTGGTGGTTGGAGCCGGTGACTAATTCAAACCAGAACTCGGGGAGGAGTGGTGAGGGGCAAAGGGGAGGGGGGCGAAGGGGCTGGTTAGGGAGGCGGGGGCAGGAGCCCGGCTGGCGTGGGAGGAGGGCTCAGCTGCCCTCCCTGGCTGGAGCCCTCCTCTCCAGAGACGCGCTCCTGGAGAGGCGGCTGGGGGGCGAGGTCCTGCCGTGGAGTTGGAAAGGCACTGGGCTTAGGGTGTGTTCAGAGAACTGTGTTATGTAAGGCTTTCCCATGCAGGGAGAGGGTGTGCAGTGTGCGAGGGCCGGCCCTCCGCTGGCGGGCTCGGCGCCCCCTGTAGTGCCAGGGCCTTGGGAGGCGGGGGCGCAGCCCTTTGGCGTCTCTGGCCACGAGGGACACGTGGGGTCTGAGCAGGGCTGACTGTGCCCCATGCGTGGGAGGGGAGCCGAATGGGCAGATGGGGCATGTCACGGCACTAGCTGGGCCCCAGCACCACGTGGGGACAGCTCTGGCGCCTCTGCACGTTGTGGCCACGGAGAATTGTGTGCCTTGTGTGTGTGCCTTTCACAGGGCGTGGCTGCCACCGAGGAGGAGGTGAGGTGCCCCCAGGGAGCCTGCTGCTGGGTGCCCTGCTCTGTGGAGTGGATTTGTGGAAAGGCAAAGTGGGATCTTCCCATGGCAGTGAGGTCCTTAGAGAATGACCTGGACTTTCGGGAGGAAAAGGGAGCCAGATATTTACCTCTGGATCCCCCAGCACAGTGCTGGGCTGCCAATAATTGGTTTTGAAACAGTTTATTAGAATCCAGCCTCTGACTGCAGGGGTCGCATGCCCTGTGCACAGCCTAGCACAGGGATTGGGTTGATTCTGTGGGACACAGGGACGCATTGGAGGGTTGTGGTGACAGGTGACGGTGAGGGATTTCGGGGAAAGGAGGGAGAGATTGAAGATGCCTTGGAAGGCATTTTAGGGCCTCCTCACCTGTAATGGGTCTAAATTCAGGGAGTAGATTCTGCTTTCATTCCGCCCCTCTTTCCCTGCCCGCCATGAGGGAAATCTGTGGGGCAGGGTGTGGCACTCACTTCCTTTCCGAGGCTGAGTGGGGCAGCTTCCTTCACCTTGGCACCCAGGGGTGATGGGTTGGGCCAGCACTTGGTTGGTGTGTGTGCAGAGTGGGGAGTAGAAGGGAGCCCCAGGCTGAGGGGGTACCTCCTTGCTCTGAGCTGGGAGCTGTGGGATGAGGTAGCGGGGAGAGGACCTGGGCCCATGAGAGCTGGGCTAGCAGAAGTCAAAGGGTCTGGAGTATTGGCAATGGGGATTGGAGGGTGTCTGAGCCCCTCTCCAAAGCCCTGTCTTTAAAGGTTATATGCAGGGACATTGTTCAGAGAACCAGGACACAGAGGGAGCCACAGAAGTCATGTGGGGCTTAATGCTGCAGCTGTGGGCCCACAGCAGTGAGTCAGGGGTCCTGGTTTGGGCAACTTCTTGCAGAGCTAACCTCACAGAGCTGAGAACTTGTACCAGCCAGACTTGGTTGAAGGGCATGCGTCTACAGGTCCAGGGCTCAAAGTGGGACCCAATAGAGTAAACCATGGGGGACTTGTGGAAGGAGAAAGCCAGAATCAGCCAAGGGCAGGGTATGGGCTGGGGGTCCCCAGGGTCACCTTAGTCCCAGGAAGGCCATGGGTGGAGGTGCCCGGGCACTGCTGGGCTGGATTCTTAGGCTCACTTGGAATTGGCTGGCTGGCCCTGGCAGAGCACGCTACCCAGAGCCTGAGGAGCTTGTTTGAGGGGTTGGGGCAAAGCTGTGGGAGTGGAGGAGTGTGTGGGACTCTGGGGTGTGGCTGTCACCTTCCTCAGAACCTGGGAACCGCTGGGGGATGGACAGAGAGGCAGACTGGGAGAGCTAGTCTGACTCCTGCTGGGAACTCTCCCATGCCGGCTCTGTCCTCCCCACCACACCTGGAAGCCCCAAGCTTCTCTCCCTGGAGCTGGGCTGATCAGGTACGTGTGCACACGAGGAAAGGAGGTGGCCCCTGGAGAGCGGTGAGAATGGGACGTTTCAGCTGGTGGGTGTCTGGGGCCTTCTGTTCTCCCTCTGACCCCCATGGGCTTTATCCAGGCTCCTAGGGAGCTGCCATTTCCCTGGGCTGTGACCATCCCGCTGGGCTCCCAGGCCTTCCTGAGAACAAGCGGTTTCCTCCAGGCCTGGGCGAGCCCGAGGAGTTGTGAGGACCACGCTGGGGGGAGGGGGCACAGTGGGCTTAGCAGGAACGTGTGTTTTGATTGAGCCCTTCTTCCTCCCTGCTGGCTTCAGTCCACATCCGGGGGCCCGCTGGGCTGTTGTACTGGAGGTCTTGGGTCCGGGGTCCCTGTTTCACTGTGGCCTTGAGTCCCTATGACTGCTAGTGTCACAGCAGAGAGATATGTGTTATTACCTATGAGAAGGTGTCTCTGTGGCTGTGCTCACTGGTCCTGGATGTGTCACCTCTGCTTGCGTCTGGGGTTTATAGAGCAGGGGACAACAGTGGGACTCTGTCCCAGTGGTGGAGGTTTCATGGGGGCTTCAGGGGCTGTAGGTAAGGACTCAAGTAAGTTTCTCCATCCTGGACGGGTTCCAGGCCCTGGAGTTTGTGTCCAGAGGCCCCAGGGAGGGTGAGCACAGCCGTGGGAGTGAGGCTGCGCTGATCCAGGCTGAGCGAGGCGCCGCACAGGGCCGGTCAGGGAGGGGCATCCTGCCCGGTCCCCGGGGGCTGGAGCGGAGGTTCTAGGGAAGGGGAAGTGCCTGGTTTTGCGTCCTGGCCGGGCTGGGGGGTGGGTGGCTCTTTGGCAGCTGAGCCGAGTGGCCTGGCCCCGAGCCCCTGCACTAGCGTGACCCCGACCTCTGGGCGGAGAGATCCGCCTTGGTCTTGTCCGCGGGCAGCTCCCAAACTGTAATCTACTCCTGGGGCGAGACCCGGTGAGACAGTGAGCTCTTCTTCACCCCTTGCCCCAGTCAGGAGGACCCCCCCCATCCCCCATCCCCAAGCTGCTGTCTTAATCCCAGCCACCCAGGGTCAAGGCCCACTCTTCCCTGGCGAGGTGGCCAGGTGTGGGGATTGCCCGCTGGAGAATGGAAGCTGCCCCCAGTCCCTGCCACAAGGAGAGGGGAGTCCGTCTTGGTCAGGGGAGGAAGAAGGAATCTCTCTCCCTGTTGGAAGCTTGAACTTGGAGCGCTGGGGCTGCGGGAGTGGGAGGGGCCAGGGGACAGAGGTGGAGAAAGGCGGCTGGGCGGAGCCCTGAAAGCGGCTAGCTGGCTGGCTGGCTGGCTGGCTGGAGTGGGGGTGGGGGGCTGCCCTGGAAGTCGAGGGGCAGGAAACTCTAGTGTGATGGTGAGGGGCCAGGGGAAGGGGCTGACGTGGAGGAGAGGGCTGGAGTGATGAGGCTGGAAAAACTTGCTCCAAGTGGGAGGTGTGGGCGGGACCAGCAGCCCTGGTAGCTAGGGAGGAGCTAGGCAGGCGCCCGCGCTAGAGGGAGGCACGGAATCTGGGCACCAGGTTAACAGGTATAGGCTCCCTCCATGATACGCAGGGCCTGGGGCTGCCCAGACAGGTGTCTGTGGTGAGCTGCGGGAGGCAGGGGCTGTGGGCCTGCTCTGGGCTGTGAGGAGGGGGGACTGAGGAGTGTGTCTGAGTGCCCGGATTGTGTGTGCTTCCTTGTGTGTCTTTCTTTGATTGTTTCTCCAGTGCCCATGTTGCCTGTGTCTTGCAACATGTTCGTCAAATTCTCCCTGATAATTCGACCTCCCCAACACACATATCCCATTCAAGTTGAAAGTGCCCCCTGGGGGTGTGCCGTCCAGAATCAGCTGACCTCAGAGTTCTTGGTGCCAGCTTAGACTCTGAATATAACGGAGTGCTACTCCAGTTAGAATGGGGCAGGTTGTTTTCCAGACCAAGGTCTGGTGGCTGCATATGTGGAGGTCCGTTTGGAGGCTTCGGCGCTGGAAGAGAGGCGCACCTGTATTCCTCCTTGTTCCTCTGGACCTGGGATTTCCCGCTGAGTGGAAATGTTTGCCTTGCCCTGCGGGTGCCTGTCTCTAGAGTGGGTCTGGTGCCTGCCAAGCCCCAGAAGGGGATGATTCTCTTGGTCTTCACCGGCTGGGGTCCAGAGAGTCTACAGGTGAGCTGGGTTCTGGGTGGCTCAGGATCTCTGACTCCTGGGAACACAGCGTTGATGAGCCTCAGAACCAAAAGGGCCCTCAGATCCTGGGCTCTGGGATGCCTGGGACTCTGCCCATTCTGGGTAAGCTGTCCCCAAGCTGGGCCAGGACAAGGCTGGTGTGTGGGCAAGGAAGCTGATGGCCACTCACCCTTCCTCGTGTGCTGGTGCATCTTGACGGGCATCACTGCTTCCTGGGGTCTCTACCCGCGCCCCTACCCGAATCTCAGCCCCTCTTTCTGTGTGTTTCTGTCCCTCCGAGACATCCTCCTCCCACCACGTCTGTCTCCCTCTGGATGAGCGTGGAGGCCTCTCCGCCTTCCTGTGAATGTGCCTCTCCAGCTCTCACTCTGCCCCCCTCCAGTATAGGTCTCTCGGTCTCTCCCTCCCGTGTATCTGTCTCCCTTGTGCATCTTTCTCTGTGGTTTCTCATCCTCTCTTGTGTGTTTATTTGTGCCTTTGTCGCTGTCTGTGGGTAAAGAGGCCTTGGAGTCAGAGAACCCCGGGCTTGTATTTCAACTCTGTCTCATACTTGGGCAAGTCATTTTACCTTGGGGCCTATTTCTGCACTCTAAAATAAGGATATTAATTCTTAATCACATAGGGTTGTTTGGGGAAGGAAGGGGACCCCTTGGTGCCCCAGGCATGGAACAAGCACCGTCCTGGGGCACCATAGGAGCTCTGCAAAATTCTCTTTCTCTCCCCCTGGGGCGGGGCCGGGGGTGGGGTGGGGGTGGCGGTGGCGGTTTCTTTTAATGTGGAGCTTTCTCTTCCTTTTTACTGCCCGGGGAGTGTTCATGAGCGTAGACGGCCACTCCGGGTGTGTCTCTCTTTTCTCCGAATATCTCAGCCCCTGGTCCTGGTTATAAGTGTTCACAGCTTTCCCGCTGGTGGGAGTCTGTGGCTCTGGTTGTGAGTCATCTCATTGTTCTGAGCTTGGGGACTGCTTCCCCCTGGCCTGTGTGTATGGTGGCTCGGTTTGCTCGTGTGCTGGGTGGAAGTTTCATTGCTGTCAGCATCCTCCCCACCGTGGGTGGGTGTGCTTCCTTCTGCCTTGGAGTGTCACCTCCTGTGTCCCGCCTGTGCTGGGCATATGAACAAACTTCTGTCCCTCTGCTGTGTATCTTGACTTCGGGGTTGGTGCGTGGAGGCCTTGAGGCCCGTGGGCCTGACTCTCGGGTGTGTGTAAGTATTAGTTCCTGTCATCTTGACACTGACGCTGGCTGCGAGGTTGTCTGGCTGCTGCAGCAGTTAGGCTGGGTCCCCTCCCTGGCTGTTTTCATACTGGATCTTGGGCAGAAGGGGCTCTGTTTCCTGGGAGCAGTGGGAGAACATGTTCCTCTGGAGGTAACACCTGGCGGAGACCATCTTCCTGGGGCAAAGAGTCTGTTTCCTGGGCCTTGTCCCAGATTTGCCTGGGTGTTGCCCCCAATCTGCAGAGGTGGCATGGGCAGAGCCCTGCTGCTCTGCACATCCTCCTTTGTGGTTTTGAATTGTCAGGGCAGCTTCGCTCTTCTCTAGCCGCTTCTGGCCTGAATTACACTCTGTCCCTGCAGCCTCAGTTGCGTGTCCTCTCTACCTTGAAACTGGAGTGGCCTCACCAAATCACTCCTTTTTTGCCCTCCAGGCAGCCCTGTGTCTTAGAGGGTCTCCACTCCAGCCCATTCATCACGAAGGTTACTGTGAGCCAGGGTCGGGTGGACTGCGGGCAGGGAGCTAGCAGTCCTGGGTTCTAGGGCCCCAACATTCCGCCATTCTCAGGGCTCTGGACCTCACTATCCCCATCTGTAGATAGCAGGCGGTGCTGTCCCACAGGACTTTGCAGCGGTGGAAATGTTCTGTACTTGCGCTTCTAATATGGTAGCCCTGCGTGGCTGTTGAGCTCTTGAAGTGCGGCTACTATAACCAATGGACTAAATGTTTAAGTTAAATTAACTTACATTTAAATAGCCACATGTGGCCTAAGGTTTCTTCCACTCCGAGGGCTTATGCCACTTGACTGAATGTGTGGAATTCCCCAAAGCTCCAGAGACCCTGCTTTGGGTAACAGCAAGGTGGAGCCCCCAGCCCCCCGGGTAGCTGGCTTCACCTGACTTGTGCGGGAGGAGAAGGAAGGCCCATCTGGGCTCGGTACAGGCCCCAGGGGTGGGCGAGATGGAGGGCTGGGACCCAAGTGCAGAAAATAGGCCCTTGCCACCGTGGCCTCGAATCCCCTATCAGCACCCCCGTGCCCGGCCAGGTCAGATGAAAGAGGGAGGGGAGTCTTTCCTGGCTGTGCCAGGAGGTGAGGCCTGAGCCAGAGCAGGCCTGGTGGTTGGCAGCCCTGCCTGGCCGGGAAGCCAGCGGGTGCCCTGCCAGGGCCAACCTGCAGCCTTGGGTCCAGCGCCTCCTCTTCTCACGGACTGTGGCCCTTTCTCTGCTCACGATGGCCTCCTCGCTAGTCCCAGGGGTTGAGGCATGTGGCACATCCCTCCTGAGCCTCCCAGCTGTGCTTCCCTGGACTCTGGGCCTGGAGCTCTGTGCCGAGCAGCTGGCAGGGAAGCCCACTGCCTCTCACCGGGCCCCAGCCCCTCTGGCACCCGGGGGTCTGGCCCGTGAAGCACTTGGTCGATCGGGTTTTAGGCGTGACCCTTGGCGGCCGCAGTGACTCACTGGGGAAGGAGGGAAGGTGGGGCTGAGATGTGGGCGAGGGTGAGCTGTCTGGCTTGCTGCCCCATCGCTGCCTGCTGGCTCAGCACCAGATGCTGGGCTGAAAAAAGGGGCCCTGCTCAAGGAGGAAGAGGGAAGTGCAGTCGGTGGCTTCGGAGATCTGAGAAGCCCTCGGGTGGGAGCCCTTTCCTTCCCTGCCCTGCCTGACTCCTTGTCTGCAGGGCTGGCTTCTCAGTGCTGGACGCCGGGGGAAGGCACCATTTAAGCTCCAGCTTGCTGTTTCACTATGGGTAGGGTCAGCGGGACTTCCGGTAGGAAGGAAGGAGGTGATTTCCTCAGCTCACACCTGTGCCAACTGGCTGCCGCTGGCCTCCTAGCCGGCACCTGTGCTGACGTAACTACCGCGTGAGCCAGTGCAGGTGGTTGGCGAACAGGGTGTCTGTGGCTGTCTTCACCGGTGTTGTGATCTGCCTGACACTGGAAGTCCTAAGTGCCTATGAATTTCCATGAATCCCGTCCTCAGAGGCAAACTCAGCACCTTCAAGACTCCATTTAGATTTCATTCCCCCAGAAGGCTCCCAAGCCTTCCGGAACATTCAGAGGTGAAATTGGTCATGCCCAGAGCACCTTGCTCATAACTTATATCCGGGACAGAAGCTAAGTCTTTTAACTCTCCATCTCTGGCACGTGGAGTGCATTCAATAAATGTTTGGAGGATGCATGAGTGAAGTTAGGTGATAGCCTGATGCAGTGTATAGTTCAGTGCTGGGCTGAGCTGTGTCTGTCCCTTGCTAGATTTCTCGGCAGTGTCCTGTACAATGTTGGACATACAGGAGACGATCAGTATGCATGCATTTATTGATTGGTTGGCTAATTTCTGGGTGTCAGCAGATTTAGGGCGGAGCTTTGGACGAGGTTCTCCACGATTTATAGCACCCCCTGCACGGTTTCACAGGCGTACTTCTGGGTGTCTGGAGGCTGGAGGCCTGCCTGGTGTCTTCCCCGGCGCCTCTGCAGCCGACAGTTCATCCCGTGGCTGGAGGGTGTCTTTGCTCCCTCAGTGCCCGCACCTATGGGGGCCTGGTTTCAGGGCCCAGCAGGTGCAGCCAGATGGGCCCTGACTCACCACGTCCTTGAGGCAGCACAGCTGGACCGCAGCCTCTTGGGCTTGGGCCGGTGCTGGGGGGCCTGGGGCTTCCATTGTTTGGCCTCTGCCTGTGGCAGGGCTCCTGGAGCTCCCAGCTGGCGAGCGTCCCCCTGGTTCTGAGGCCAGGGTTAGGGTGACCCGGAGTCACTCACTGTCGGCCACTGGGGGAGGGAGGGCACCACCAGCCCTGCTTGCAGGTTGCCAGTGGCCCCCAGTGCCGGAGAGTCTGAGGAGGGGTCTTGCACAGGTTAGAGCTGCAGGCCTGATATGGCATCGGAGGAAGAGTTACAGGCTCAGAGCCCGATCATAGCTGCTCTCTCACGGTGCACCCCCGGCCGGCTGGCCTCTCCAAATCTCGGTTTCCCCACCTGCACTATGGGGGCTGAAGCTGTTACAAGGGACCTAATGAGAATGGGGTTGTTGGGAGGCTCTGATGGGCCAGAGCTTTTCTCACATGCTTTCTCTTGCTCCTTCAGTCCTCATGGGAATTCTTTATCGTCTCCATTTTCTCAGATGAGGAAATGGAGGTTCAGAGAAGTTAAGTGACTTGGCCCGGGTCACACAGCCGGGAAGATGCAGAGCCAGGATTTGAATGAGTCCGGCCTCTTCCAAACCCCCTCCTGTGGCCCCAGGCTGGAGGGTCTTGTGTGAATGGAGCTGATGACAGTAGCGGGGTTGGGGTTTGGTTTGGCCCCGGGGGGGGGGCAAAACAACCAGCCGTCTCTTGCACAGCAGCTGGTCGGGGTTTCGACAAGCCGAGTGCTGAGTGTGCGCCCGAATGTGGCCTTCTCCCTAGGCTGTGTGACCGAGATTCCCAAGAGAGAGACACTCCGAGGAGAGGAGAGGAAGGAGGGGCGGGCTCCTGGCAAGGCATCCGCTCCTGAACCAAGTCCTGCCAAGGTCAGTAGGAGGGAGGGTGACGAGGGCGGTGGAGGTGAGAGGATGGGGAGGGTAGAGACCCGGGAGGCACGTGCTATCGGGAGGCAGGGCCCGGGGGGGACAGGACGAGGAGCTGGCTGCCTCCGCTGCGGCTGTGTCCACCGTCCACCTTGGGAGCCCGCCCACAGTGGAGGCAGGCACCTCGGAGACAGTGCCCCACGCCCGGGGGATCCCTGGCTTCCCCATCCCCTCATGCCCCCACTGCCCCGTTTCCTTACCTCATCCAGATGGAGAAGGAGGAAGAGACGACCCGGGAGCTGCTGCTGCCCAACTGGCAGGGCAGCAGTTCCCACGGGCTGACCATCACCCAGAGGGACGATGGCGTCTTTGTGCAGGAAGTGATGCAGAACTCCCCTGCGGCCCGCACTGGGGTGGTCAAGGAGGGTGAGTCACCTCGGGGTGCGGGCTGCTGCTGGGGCGGGGAGGGGGAGGGTGCTGGAGGGAAAGGCAGGGGCAGCACAAGCGGGTGGGTGGTTGTGGAGGGCTGGGTCCCAGTGGCATCAGGATGGCCGGTACCTATGCCCTGCCCTCCACTGCCCGCTCTCTATCCCTGGTTCCCTCACAGTCCTCGCGGGAGGTGGTCCTGAGGACTGGTGGACGCGCCGTCCTCTGTTCCGACTCCACCACCCATGAGCTCTGCCACTTTGGGCAAATTAGATGGCCTCTCTGCCTCAGTTTCCTCATCTCTACAATGGGTGTTACCACACCTGCACGTCAGTCTGAGGGCCCCGTACAGAGTGGTTGTGTGTTGTTTCCCCGAGACCCTGGGTGGTCTTACCCGCTTCCCGCTCCTCCCTGCTCAGGGGACCAGATTGTGGGTGCCACCATCTACTTTGACAACCTGCAGTCGGGAGAGGTGACCCAGCTGCTGAACACCGTGGGGCACCACACTGTGGGCCTGAAGCTGCATCGCAAGGGGGACCGTTCCCCTGAGCCCGGCCAGACCTGGACCCACGATGTCTTCAGCTCCCACAGCCCTGACGTGGTTCTGGTGAGTGCCTGGCTGGCCGGCCGTGCCCTTAGCTCCCCCGACCACGCCGACGGGCTGGTCCCCCTTCCTGAGCCTCTGTCCGCCCGCTGGACAGCTTTTCCTTCCTGGCTTCTCTCCTGCTTTCACCCTCTGCTCTCTGTAGAGCCAGCCTGTTTCTCCTTTTCACGTGTGGCTGCCGCTAAAAGTCTTCTGTCAGTCTCTTCCGAGGGTCCCCGCCTGGGGCCCCACTCATTGGTCTATTCCTCGGTGCCAGGAGGAAGTTGGCTGCTTTGCAGGCATCTTTGAAATGATTTCACAGGTGCCCAGTTCTGCCTCACAGACATCATTTTTCTACTTCAAGAGGCCTGGACTCATCTGTGATTCAGAGGCTGGGCAGCAGAGTGCCTGAGGGGCAGTTCTCTGCTGCTTCTGATGGCTTGTTTATTTAACAAATAATGAGTCCTCAAAGTGGAAATGTTAACCCCGGCACAACCAGGCTCAACAAATGCTTTCCGAAGGGTCCCTGGGAGGATTCCCCTCCAGATTAAACAAACAAGCCAGGCAGTTGAGAGGTGAGAGGTGAGAGCTGAAGGTCCAGTCAACACGGAGCTAGTCACCAGGAGGTGTCCATGAGACCTGCTGGGCCGATTCGAATCTAGAATTGATTGTAAATCCTTCTCCCGGACTCCACTGTCCAGGAGTCTACCTGTCCCCACTCCCCATGGCTTTTGCTTACCAGAGATTCCCCAAGTAATTGCTGTTTTCCTCCTGTGGTGTGGCTGTCAGCCCCTCTCTTCAGTCCCCTGTGCTGTGTCCCAGGAGGCTCCGTGGGCCTCCCTTATGGTCCCGGCTTCTTTGGGAAACAGGCAGGCGGCTGTCACTCATGCAGACTCTCTGCTGCAACCTGTGGGGGGCGTGTGTCTCTGCAGAGCGGGGATGACGAGGAGTACCAGCGCATCTACACCACGAAGATAAAGCCTCGGCTGAAGTCAGAGGACGGAGTGGAAGGGGAGCCTGGGGAGACCCAGAGCCGCACCATCACGGTGACTAGGAGGGTCACAGCCTACACTGTGGACGTGACAAGCCGCGAAGGAGCCAAGGACATCGACATCAGCAGCCCTGAGTTCAAGATCAAGATTCCACGGCACGAACTGACTGAAATCTCCACCGTGGATGTGGAGACCCAGCCTGGGAAGACAGTGATCAGACTGCCCTCGGGCTCGGGGGCACTGTCCCCCACCACAGGCTCCACTGTGGACATCCAAGCAGGGTCCATTTCCACTTCAGGAACGGAGCTCCAAGGTGCTGGCCACTCGAAGGTCCAGGTCACCGGGCCTGGGATAAAGGTGGGAAGCCCGGGTGTCAGTGTCAGCGCAAAGGGATTGGGCTTAGGTAGCAAAGGAGGGGTCCAAGTCCCAGGGGTGGACGTTCTGTCTTCTCTTGGGGGTGGGGCAGCAGAGTGGCAGGGCCCAGCTCTTGAGAGTGGCAATGATGGGAAAATTAAATTTCCCTCCATGAAGCTGCCAAAATTTGGTGTCTCAACAGGGCTTGAGGGTCAGGCCCCAGAGGCAGGGTTGAGTGTTTCTGCCCCTGAATTCTCTGTGGGGCACAAGGGTGGCAAGCCAGGCTTGACCATTGGCGGGAACATCCAGACCCCTCAGCTAGAAGTCAGTGGTCCCTCTGCCAGTATTAAGGGGCTTGAGGGGAAGCTGAAGGGCCCCCAGATCACTGGGCCATCCCTTGAGGGTGACCTGGGCCTGAAAGGTACCAAGCCACAGGGGAGTTCAAGGGTGGACATCTCTGTGCCCAAAATCGAGGGCAGCATCGCTGGCTCCAGGGTGGAAGTTCAAACTCCTAACATTGATATTCATGGGCCAGGGGGCAAACTGAATATGCCCAAGGTGAAGGCCCCCAAATTCTCTGTATCAGGTTCTAAGGGAGAGGGAGCTGACATTGATGTGACACTTCCTGGGGTCTCTGGGGATGTTGGCCTACCTGAGGTTGCTTCTGGGGGACTGGAAGGGAAGGTGAAAGATCCTAAAATCAAGACTCCTGAAATGATTGTTCAGACACCTAAAATCTCCATGCAGGATGTGGATCTGAGCCTCAGGTCCCCTAAACTGAAAAGAGACATTAAGGTTTCTGCTCCTGGGGTTCAAGGTGATGTTAAAGGCCCTCAAGTGGCAGTTAAAGGCGCCAAAGTGGACATAGAGACACCCAGCCTAGAGGGGACCGTGACTGGCCCCAAGTTTAGTGGTCCTTCTGGGAAAGAAGGAACCTGCAAGATCTCTATGGCAGACGTAGACTTAAATGTGGCCACACCAAGGGTGAAAGGGGGTGTGGATGTCATGCTTCCAAAAGTAGAGGGGAAAGTCAGTGTCCCTGAAGTTGATGTCAGAGGCCCCAAAGTGGATGTCAGTGCCCCAGATGTGGACATTCATGGTCCGGACTGGAACCTGAAAATGCCCAAGATGAAAATGCCCAAGTTCAGCACTCCAGGAGTTAAAGGGGAAGGGCCAGATGTAGATGTGAATCTCCCCAAAGGTGATGTCAGTATTTCAGGGCCCAAGGTCAGTGTGGAAGCCCCAGATGTCAACATAGGGGGCCTGGTGGGCAACCTTAAAGGCCCTGATGTTCAGCTGCCTGAAGTGAGTGTCAAGACACCAAAGATCACCATGCCTGATGTGGATTTGCATGTGAAAGGCCCAAAGGTAAAAGGAGAGTATGATGTAACAGCAACAAAACTTGAAGGAGAGATGAGAGGCCCCAAAGTGGACATTGATGCCCCTAATGTGGACGTTCATGGCCCAGACTGGCACCTGAAGATGCCCAAGATGAAAATGCCCAAGTTCACTGTGCCAGGGTTCAAAGCAGAGGGCCCTGAAGTGAATGTAAACCTGCCTGAGCCTGATGTGGACATTTCTGGGCCCAAGGTAGATGTCTGTGCTCCAGATGTGAGTATTGAGGGACCAGAGGGGAAATTGAAAGGACCCAAGTTTAAGATGCCTGAGATGAATATCAAAGCCCCGAAGATCTCCATACCAGATGTGGACTTACATTTGAAAGGCCCTAGTGTAAAAGGAGAATATGATGTCACAGTGCCGAAGGTTGAAGGTGAGATTAAAGTTCCTGATGTTGAACTTAAAAGTGCCAAACTGGACATTGATGCTCCAGATGTGGACATTCATGGCCCAGACTGGCACCTGAAGATGCCCAAAATGAAAATGCCCAAGTTCAGCATGCCCGGCCTCAAAGCAGAGGTCCCAGAAGTGGATGTGAACCTGCCCAAGACTGACATTGACATCGCTGGACCCAAGGTGGATGTTGAGCTTCCAGATGTGAATATTGAAGGACCTGAAGGAAAGCTGAAGGGTCCCAAGTTTAAGATGCCTGAGGTGAATATCAAGGCCCCCAAGATCTCCATGCCTGATGTAGATTTGCATATGAAAGGTCCCAAGGTAAAAGGGGAATATGATGTTACAGTGCCAAAGCTGGAAGGGGACCTGAAGGGGCCAAAGGTAGACATCAGTGCCCCAGATGTTGGAGTTCACAGTCCTGATTGGAACCTAAAGATGCCAAAGATGAAAATGCCCAGATTCACCAGGCCCAGCCTTAAAGGAGAGGGCCCAGAATTGGATGTGAATCTGCCCAAGGCTGATGTCGACATTTCTGCACACAAGGTAGATATTAGTGCTCCAGATCTGAGCCTTGAAGGACCAGAAGGGAAGTTGAAAGGCCCTAAGTTTAAGATGCCTGAGATGCACTTCAAAGCTCCCAAGATGACCCTGCCAGATGTTGACATGGATTTTAAAGGGCCCAAAATGAAAGGGAATCTAGATATGTCTGCACCAAAAATAGAAGGTGAGATGAGAGCTCCACATGGGGACATCAAAGGTCCCAAAGTAGATGTTAAAGCACCAGATGTGGAAGTTCAGGATGCAGACTGGAGTCTGAAAATGCCAAAGATGAAAATGCCTAAATTCAGCATGCCTGGCTTCAGAGGAGAGGGCCCAGATGTGGACGTGAACCTGCCCAAAGCTGACATAGATGCCTCCGGACCCAAGGTGGACATTGAAGCCCCAGATGTGAGCCTGGAGGGGCCAGAAGGGAAGCTTAAGGGTCCCAAGTTTAAGATGCCTGAGATGCACTTCAAGGCCCCCAAGATCTCCATGCCTGATGTGGACTTACACTTGAAAGGCCCCAAAGTCAAAGAGGATGTGGATGTGTCTGTGCCCAAGATAGAAGGTGAAATGAAAGTGCCAGATGTGGACATCAAAGGCCCCAGAGTGGATGTTGATGTCCCAGATGTGGACGTTCAAGGCCCCGACTGGCAGTTGAAGATGCCCAAGATGAAAATGCCCAAGTTCAGCATGCCTGGCTTCAAAGGAGAGGGCCCTGACGTGGACGTGAACCCACCCAAGGCTGACATTGATGTCTCAGGACCCAAGGTGGACATTGAAGCCCCAGATGTGAGCCTGGAGGGGCCAGAAGGAAAGCTTAAGGGTTCCAAGTTTAAGATGCCTGACATGCACTTCAAGGCCCCCAAGATCTCCATGCCTGATGTAGACTTACACTTGAAAGGCCCCAAAGTCAAAGGGGATGTGGATGTGTCTGTGCCCAAGACAGAAGGTGAAATGAAAGTGCCAGATGTGGACATCAAAGGCCCCAGAGTGGATGTTGATGTTCCAGATGTGTGCGTTCAAGGCCCCGACTGGCATTTGAAGATGCCCAAGATGAAGATGCCCAAGTTCAGCATGCCTGGCTTCAGAGGAGAGGGCCCTGAAGTGGATGTGAACCTGCACGAGGCTGACATTGACATCTCAGGACCCAAGGTGGACATTGAAGCCCCAGATGTGAACCTTGAGGGGCCAGAAGGAAAGCTTAAGGGTTCCAAGTTTAAGATGCCTGAGATGCACTTCAAGGCCCCCAAGATCTCCATGCCTGATGTAGACTTACACTTGAAAGGCCCCAAA